GGGGGGAGGGAGAGAGAGGGAAAGAGAGAGAGAGAGAGAGAGAGAGAGGCTAGGAGTAGTCTGAAGGGATTATCACAGATGCAGAGACATGAACTCCCAACTTGCGATCCTCCTGCCTCTACTTCCCTGGTGCTGAGATTAAAGGTATGTACCACCAAGCCCAGGGTTTTAAGTGGCCCTGAGAACGAAGCCAGGGCTTCATGCATGCTAGGTAAGTACTCCACTAACTGAGCTATTAATACATTCCCAGTCCTGTCACAATTTTTCCAAAGACCTGCAGACCTGTAAAGAGAACAGGCCAGAACTAGGTGAGCTGACAAGTGCTTTCTAAGATATTTCACTGTGTGAGAAAGCAAAGCACAGTGGTGCAAGCCTGTCATCCCAGCATGCAGGAGGTCCAGACAGGACCTACATAACAAGATCCTGACTCAAACAAAAGGAAAAAATAAAGGCAAAATGTCATCAAAAAGGATACTCAGGGTGCTGGAGAAATAGCTCAGTGGTTAGGAGCACTGGCTGCTCCTGCAGAGGACCCAGGTTCAATTCCCAGCATCTACATGGCAGCTAACAACTGGCTGTAAGTCCAGTTCCAGGGAATCCAACACCCTCTTCTGACTTCCATAGGCATTGCACAATGTAAGTACACTTATATACATGTAGGTAATACACTCAGACACATAAAAATTATATATATGGTTTTTTTTTTGTTTTTTTTTTTGTCTTTTTGAGACAGGGTCTCCCTATAGCCCCAGCTGTCCTGGAACTCACTATGTGGACCAGGCTGGCCTTGAACTCACAGAGATCTGCCTGCCTCAGCCTCCTGAGTGCTGGGATTAAAGGCGTGCGCCACCACACCTGGCCCAATAAATATTTTTTTTAAAAAGGACATTCAGGGGCTAGAAAGCTGGCTCAGCAGTTAAGAGCTGCTCTTGCAGAGTACTGAGGTTTGGTTCCCAACACTCATATAGCAGCTAGCAACCATCAGCAACTCCATTTCCAAGGGATCTGATGCCCTCTTCTGGCCTCTGTGCACATTGCATGCACACGGTACACTTAAGCAAAGCACTCATAGACATAAAATAAAAAATATGTCAAAAAAGTTTAAATAAGTAACTAAAAATAAATCTTAAAGATATGGAGCTTTGGAAGGTCAGCAGGGTGGAGACCTCACAATCAGATAAGGTAGGATCAAGAAGACAGTCCCTTAGGGGGCCCTCTTCAACAACTTGAATTTAAGACTTCCAGCCTCCATAACTGAGAAATTAAGTACCCACTGTTTAACTCCCAAGTCTAGGACAATGTTGTTAGGGTAGCCCAAGCCAACTACAGCCAGTATCCATTTGTGGGTGCTAAAATTTAAGAACAGAGGATGAGAAACAGCGTTTGCAGACTTTGTTTTGTTTTTTTTTTTTTTTTTTTTGAGAACATCTATAAAGCCCAGGCTACACCCCCAGCCTGCTGAGTGCTGGGATCACAGGAACATACCACCATGTCCAGCTTTATCATTCATCCTTGAAATGAAGGGGGCTGAGCCACCTCTATAGCTGAGGCTGGCCTTGAACTTTCCCTGGAATCTTCCTGCCTCAGCCTCCAAGTAACTGGGATTATAGGTCTGGCCCATCTAGACAACTGACCACATGGCTCAGACCCTCTACGGAAACTAGTCCACTGCACAAGGAGGCTAGACCCCCTGTTCACTCTGCTGTGTGTCACCTGGAGCTCCATCTGCCCAAATTCTATTGAGAGTTTATGACACTGGTGCTGTTGGAGGCTCCCCTGGCCACCATGAGACTAAGCCACACACTCACCTACGGAGGAGCGACTGCTGCAGGCTCTTGCAGGTGGTGAGGGACTCTCCAGTGAACATGTGACACACGACAACATGCAGGCAGCGGGCCATGAAAGCTAGCACAGCATCAGGCTGCAGGGTGCCGCTGCGTGAGACCAGACACAGGCGCTGCAGAGATGAGCACTGGCCCAGAGCCTGGAAGAACTGTGCGTTGGCACTGAAGTAGGGTTGCTCCAGCCTGAGGGAGAAAAGGTGCATGAGTCCCTGCAGCTGAGTGGGCACCCAGCCCCAGGCCATAGAACACCAGGCAGCAAGGACTGGGGCACAGGTGGAGATCCGGGTGTAGCCAGCCACCATCTACAAACCCTCCCATCAGTCTTCCTGTCAGCATTCCACCCTGCCCATTGTTGTAGTGGCTGGGGTTACAGCCCTGCCCTGGGGACCCAGTGTGATGGCAGAGGCAGTTAAGTAAACAAAGGCAGGAAAAAGCTGGGATCCAGAGGGCTGGGGCCTGTCGGGGAGGGGCAAAGGAAGGGAAGTCTGTTAGGACTACTTTGAGGCCAGCGCCTTATGACCAGCCCCAGGCACAAGTTTCACCCACACAGCTCCATGGGAGGATGACTGTCAATCTCAGACACAGGGAGCAGAGGGCAAGCCTCTCCAGGCTACAGAGGTGGCCATGAAACCTTCTTCCCCTTCACCAAGGACATGGGTCACCTTTGTCACTCAAAGAGCCTTAACAGTTAACAAGTGACATTCACATTGGAATCTTTTTTTTTTTTTTTTTTTGGTCTTTTTGAAACAGGGTCTCCCTGTAGCCCCAGCTGGCCTTGATGTAGACCAGGCTGGCCTTGAACTCATAGAGATCTGCCTGTCTCTACCTCCAGAGTACAGGGATTAAAGATGTGCACTATCATGCCTGGCTCTTGACTGGTTTTGGCTAATGGAGACATTCTCAATCTGTAGCCTGACTGGCCTTGAATTTCCAGTAATACTTCTGCCTTTGCTTCCCAGTATGGTATCAATGTGGGAGGCAGGAGGTTATACAGGGCTCCTGGTAACCTTGGTACCAACAGCTGTAGACACTTGGGGCTGCCTCTCCCCAATGCTACACCCACACTAGGGGTGGGATCTGGGTCTACGCAGCAGCTGCCACCTCCGCCACTAGGTGGCAATGTGGGCCTACACCACATGCCCAGGTTTCCCCAAGCCAACTGGGTTACAAAGTGACAACACATGCCCCATACAGGGCTCCTGGTAACCTTGGTACCAACAGCTGTAGACACTTGGGGCTCCCTCTCCCCAATGCTACACCCACACTAGGGGTGGGATCTGGGTCTACGCAGCAGCTGCCACCTCCGCCACTAGGTGGCAATGTGGGCCTACACCACATGCCCAGGTTTCCCCAAGCCAACTGGGTTACAAAGTGACAACACATGCCCCACATACTTCCATTTTTTTTTTTTTTTTTTAAAATTAGCCACTTCCAGATCCTTGTCCTGAAGGAAATGGCCTGTCACAGTGTTCCGACTGGTCTGAGTCCCCTGTTCACTCTCACTCCCTGAATAGTGAGGGCAGGGTGCAGAGAAACCAGGGCTGGTCGGCCACCAGGATGAATGGGAAACAGACCCAAGGCAGGTATCTGCTGGCACCTAAGGGTAAGCAGGAGGCAAGGAAATGGGATTCATTGCAACTGGCCTCATCCTAACTCTCCCTTCTCAGCTGGCCTCAACCTTCCAGCAGGCAAGGATCTGGCCTCCAAATCCCACTGCGGGAGGTGTGTGTGACTGTACCCCTTCCCTCTGGCTCAAGGGGCTGATGCCCGGCTGACCCAGGAAAGGTGGAGGAGCACCAGAGCTGGCAGATGCTCCTGGCTCTGTACCAGGACTGGCTGAAGTGGCTCTCTTCTCTCTTGCTTCCGCCCTGGCAGCCCAGGGTGACTCAGGGTCTGCCCTGACTACCCTGACCTGACTGCCCTGCCTCCAGCCATGGGAAAAGCCACACCCTCTTCTGCCCGACACGTGATCCTTTCGTCATGGGGGTGTGCCCCAAGCCCACAGCCAGAACAACCTGTCCCCATAGCACCTCCACCCACAGGGAGCAGGACTGGCACACACTCAGACTCATGGCCGGCTGTGTTGGCAGCAGCCCAGGGAGTGAGCCTGGGAATCCTAGGGCTACCATCTCAGAACATTCCACCATGAAGTGCAGGATCCCCTGCAGCCTCCACAGCCCCAGAAAGCAGCCAGGGGAGCGAGCATAGCCTGCAGAGCCCACAGCCAGCTGGTGCCACCTGCTACAGCTTTCCTGGGCTTGATGTCTCAGAAGCAGCAATCCAGAGGAATGAGGCCATTTGGCTGCATTCAGGAAGCCCATGTTTGTTAGGAACAGGCAGTTCCCTGCTCAGAGCAGACTTTCGGCACAGTCTGGAGCCTGGGAACAAAGATGCCACTATGAAGCACTACCACCAAACTCTTGGGAAGGCCTACAGACCCACTTAGCCTATCCTGGCAAACCGTTTATGACACACAGGGTCCTCCAGTGGAACGGATGCTCATACAGAAACAAAAGCTGGATATGTAGCCTGGGTGGGTCCAAACTTTCCATGTAGCCAAGGATGACCTTGAATTTCTGGGGTTTTTTGTTTTTTTTCTGTTTTGAGACAGATCCTCCCTGTAGTCCCAGCTGGCCTAAAACTCATTATGTAGACCAGGCCTGCCTCTGCCTCCCAATCACAGGTTTGGCAGGTGTGTGCCACCATGCCCAGTTTATGTGATACTGAAGCTGGAACCCTGGGCTTTTTGTATACTAGGCAAGTCTCTACCAACTGAGCCGCACCTCCAGCCTGTATTCTGTGATCCAACTGCAGTTCCGCCCACACATGACACACACTGAACACGCATGCTTTAGGAAAAGCCAGAGTTGTGACAAGATGGACACAGTAAGACAAGAGACTCCAGGCAGAGGAAGCAGTAAGAAAGTGCAGCACTTGGGGCTGGAGAGATGGCTCAGCAGTTAAGAACACTGATTGCTCTTGCAGAAGACCCGGGGTTTGAATCCCAGCACCCACATGGCAGCTAACAACTGTCTGTAACTCCAGTCCCAGGGGATCCGACAGCCTCTTCTGACCTCCGTGGGCTTTGCACAACACGGGTGCACTTACTTCCATGCAGGCAATACACACATGCACATAAAATAAAAATCATAAAATTTAAAAAAAAAAAAAAAGTGCAGCACTCAGAGGCTACAGGGAGGGACAGCCAAGGAGGAAGGTGCTCAACTGAATGACTGTGAAATCTTGTTCCCAGAGATGGACCAGGCTGTATCTGAGGATCAAGCCAGAGCCCCAGGGCAGGTGACCAGACAGGACAGAAAATACAAAGGCTATAAGCAAAGTCCCAACATCAGCAGGGACCCAGACAGCCTCAGCATGGCTGTGCTCCAAGGAGGACAGGAAGCTGAGCACACATCCTCATCAAGCAGCTCTGGAAGGTTCTGCCATGAGCAGCACTAGACCTGCTGACTTCCGCTCGGATGTAGCTCATTTCCTGTCATACTGAAGCCAGGAGGTCCAAGAGACATGCCTGTCCTCTCTCCTTCCCTCCCTTGAATGTGGCTGGTAGCCAAGGTCAAGCTGGGGCTGATGGTGACTCTGCTCTGAGCTTCCTGCTCCAGCCATTCCAAGGGGATGTCACGGGAAAAAGCTCAGCTCAGTGCCTTGCCTTCAGCACAGGCTCCAAAAAAGCACTATCTTGGCAAAAGTAACATCCATGCACCAGCCCCTTTAGGCTGAGCCATGACTTTGTAGTTCTAACATTACCTGTAACCCACAAGTAGCTAGGGATTCAAAGAGGAACAATTTACTTAGGCACTGCCCCTCCTGCCCAGCCTGAGACCCTCCCAGGGTCAGGGGCTTCACAACACTGTGTGTACTGTATAACCCAGTTCAAGATCATCCTCAGCTGCATAGCAAGTTTGAGGCTAACCTAGGATACAAGAGATCCTATCTGAGCTCTTTGAGTTCAAGGCCAGCATGGTCTACATAGTGAGTTCCAAGCCAGCCCCACTACAGGAAGACCCTGTCTCAAAAAGATGAAAAAAGAAAAAAGAAAGGAATGCTTAGGATGGTGGGGTACACCTGTAAATCTCAGCTACTGTGTAGGCTGAGGTAGGAAGATCACAAGTTCAAGGCCAGCCTGGGCAACTTGTCTTAAAAAGTAAAAAAGACAGCCAGACATGGTGGCGCACCTTTAATCCCAGCACTCAGGGAAGCAGAGGCAGGCAGATCATTGTGAGTTCAAAGTCAGCCTGGTCTACATAGTGAGTTCAGGTCAGCTGGGACTACAGGGAGACCCTGTCTCAAAAAGACAAAAAAAAAAAGTAAAAAAAACAGTTGAGGTGTAGCTCAGTGGTAGAGTCTGTGCCTGGAATATATAAGGCCCAGGATATAAGGCCTGGAATATATAATTCCCATCTCTGGGAAAAAAAAAAAAAAAGCTAGTTATAATGGTGTGTGCCAGTAATCCCTGCTGAGGTAGGGAAGATCATGAGTTGGAGGCCATCTTGGTCTACAGAGACCTTCCTCAAATGCTGATAGAGCACCTGCCTAGAATACCCCTATGAGGGGCTGGGGTGTGGCTCAGTGGTTAAGAGCACTGGATGATCTTGCTGAGGACCTGAGTCTGGTTCCTAGCACCCACATGGGGGTTAACAATTGTCTATAACTCCAGTTCCAGGGGATCTGATGCCTTTTTCTGGCCTCCTTTTTGGGCATTGCATGACATGGATGCACTCATATCCATGCAGGCAAAACACTCATACATATAAAATAAAAAGAAAAGAATTTTCTTGGTAATGTTTAAAGTATAGGCTGAGCCAGGTGTGGTGGTACACACCTTTAATCCCAGCACTCAGTAAGCAGAGGTAGGTGGATCTCTGTGAGTTTGAGGCCAGCCTGGTACACACATCAAGTTCCATGTCAGCCAGGGCTATACAGCGATAACTCTAAGCAGTGTGGCAGGGCATAGTGGCACATACCTTTAATCCCAGCACTGTGGGGAG